GCGGGCAGGGCCATCTGGAAGACACCTACAGCTGGCGATCAGCAGCTTCCTGGTAAGAGTGCAGGAGAGGGGCCAGGGGGCTCAAGCATGCACACAAGAGGCAGAATGGTGGTGCTGAATGAGTGGGAAGCTGTCCTTCCTCTAGGAGCAGCCCTCGCTGGCTCCAGTCACCTGAGGTGAGCAAACTTCCTGCACTGCAGCCCCTTCTAAGTGCTGACAGGCCACTGCGCATGCAGACAGCCCACCCCAAGGAAAAATCCAGAACCATGCCAACCTACAAAACCATGCCAGCCTACAAAACCATGCCACCTACAAAACCCCAAGGCAGAGGTTCAGCAGAGCACTTGCGTCTCTCAACGTCGCTGGCTTGACTGGCCCTCCTTCCAAGTGGACTTCATTCGCGCTAAAGCTTTTGAATGAACCTTCACTCCTGCGCTAACGCGTGGCCTCTCAGCTGTGCCCCCTCCGACAAATTCCTTCTTCCAAAGAGGCAAGACATGAGTTGCTGCAGACCCATACGGATTCGCTGCTGCTAACAAAATAATTTAATCCTCACCACAGCTCAGAGGTTGAGGTGACCATTATCCCTCCTCAAAGATAGGGAAACTGAGGCACAAAGAGGTCATGTGAGCTCCCAAGGTCACAGCTAGAAGGAGCTGAGACAGCAAAACCCAGGTCTTCCTACCTCCAAATCTCACCCCTTGTCTCAGTGCGGCCGTCCCCGGGGAAGGAGCCTGTGCCATGGAATTACCTCTTTTTCAGAGTTTAGTATTTCAGGTCACATCTGAGTGAGGCCTGCTGTTTCCTCTGAAAAGTCTGGCCTGACCTTAGGCCACTGCTGACTGGTCGCTGGCACAGTCCCCTGTTGGCGGTGATGGGCTCGGGGGAGGCTGCTCTGGGCAGGACTGAATGGAAACTCAGATAACTCAACAATTCTTGTTTATCTTTGTGGTACAAATATACAAGACCATTTCAAGATATAAACTATGAAAATGCCTAGTGCTGGCATGGACGTGGGGAAATGAACACTGCTGCTCTGTGTTGCTGGAGGTTTAAATCTGTATGGCCTCTGGAAGGCATGTTTTTTTTTGTTTTTTTCCTGAGACAGGGTCTCCCTGTGTTGCCCAGACTGAAGTGCAGTGGTGCAATCGTGGCTGACGGCAGCTTAGGCCTCCTGGGCTCTGCAGGGCACTGTGGCACTCAGCCAGAGGTCTTAGAAATGCAAAGCCTTTCACTCAGCCTTTAGGAACACAGTTTAAGAAAAGAGTCCCATCTAATTGGCATCCACGCATTGATTCCCTCAGGGTCAGGCCGCTGTGTGCTCAATGGCATTCAAGTCCAATTAAGAAAGGTGTATTCTTCCCTGAACTGCTTTTGCTTCCCCACACATAGGAAAGCATCTGGACTATTTAGAAAAATAGCCTTAGCCGGGAGCGGAGGCTCATGCCTGTAATCCCAACACTTTGGGAAGCCGAGGCAGGTGGATCACGAAGTCAGGAGTTCAAGACCAGCCTGGCCAAGATGGTGAAACCCCGTCTCCACTAAAAATATAAAAATTAGTCAGGCATGGTGGCAGGTGCCTGTAGTCCCAGCTACTCAGGAGGCTGAGGTAGGGAACTGCTTGAACCCAGGAGGCAGAGGTTGCAATGAGCCGAGATCACATCATTGCACTCCAGCCTGGGCGACCGAGTGAGATTCTGTCTCAAAAAAAAAAAAAAAAAAAAAGCCTCTGATTATGCACGGAAGTTTCTATTTTGTGAGTTGGCTTCCCACTGTTAAAGCCTCAGAGTTTTCAATGTAGAGGCCTTCAGGATTTGCCAGTCCAACATTTCCCAAAGTGTCTTCCATGGGAAGCTATAGGCTGCATGGAAATGGGGGCTTTCATGATGGAACAAGCTTGGGAAAATGGAACGTTTACTTCCCTGCAGGACTTCTCAGAGCCTTTGCTCTATGATGGCCATTACCAGACTCCACAAAGCACATGGAGGATGTGGTGTTTTGCACCCATGTTCAGCCACTGGATTCGTTTCCTGTGGCTGCTGTTACAAAAGACCACAAACCGCGTGACTTAGACAACAGAACTTTCCTCTCCCACGTCCTGGGAGCCAGAGGTCTGACGCCAAGTTATCGGCAGGGCTGCGCTCCCTCCGGGGACCCCTCCTTGCCCCTCCAGCTTCTGGTGGTGGCGATAACCCTTCGTGTTCTGTGGCTTGGGGCTGCATGTTCCAAACGCAGCCTCTGCTTTCACCCCCCTCCTTTCTGCGTGTCTCCCCAAACTCCTCCTTCTACTTTCTTATAAGGAGACAGGTGACTGAGTTCAGAGCCTATCTGGGTAACGCAGAGCCGGCTCCTCCTCTTGGGTTGTTTAAAGTAATCCCGTCTTTTGCCATATTGCGTAAACACAGGTTCTAGGGATTAGAATGGGGACATATTTAGGGGCCACCACTCAGCGCCCTGTAGCTGTCATCCTTTTTGGGTGTCGCATGTCACGGGTGGATGCCCCAAGGAACACCTGAAGAGAAACAGCTCGAGTCCAACCTTCTGCTTTGCAGACAGAGAAACTGACGCCTGCAGTGAGGAAGGGATTTGACGAAGTTCCAGAATGTGTCTGCATCGGAGCCGGGTCCCACCCCTCCGTCAGCTGACCACACAGACTCCTCGCTGAGTGTGTGAGGGGCCCATGCAGGATGGCACCCGGGCTGCGCAGTCGTGGTTGCCACCTCCACTGGGCAGCCCCAGGGACCACCACACCACCACCCCCACGATGCTTGGGCATCTATCCCAGGATGGCCCACAGCCTTTGCACTGGCCTCCAACGCCCCCCTGCCCAGAGTCACCCCAGCACTCCACTCCAGGAGCCCCACACTCCTTTCACCCCAAATACACTGCCCCTCCTGCCATGCCTGCAGGATGGGCCTAGCTTCTCTGTCATTGTGGGTGTCAAATAGCAGGGACTGTCAGCGGAAGGAATTTCCCCTCCCGGGACCTCAGTGTCCTCTTCTGGAATACCGGCTCTAAGGGTGTGAAGGTGGCTTCAGGTCTCATGGGCATGGCTGGGTGGTGCCATCCTGGCCCCAGGCAGCTCTGCAGATGTTCTCTGCAGGGCCTTCCCAGCAGCGGGTGTGTGCTGAGGTGTTCCAGGGAGGGCCAGGGTGGCCATACCTGGTCTGACCTGAGCCCATCCTGGGTGGGGACACTGAGCGGGTCCTGCCAACAGGCAACAGTGCAGGAGTGTGGTCTGCGTGGAGTAGAGGAGGTGGCCTGGGTGGGGAGGCCTTTGTGGGTTTTGGTAGCTGCATGTCCCAGGCTGGGCCAAGCCACTGGGCTCATTGAGTCCTGCGGGCACAACCTCAGGCCCAGAGCCTGCTTCTGATTCAACAGGGCTGAGGCTGAAAAAGGACCATGTTGCCCAGGCCAAAGTCACCCGCCAGCCCGCTGGGCTGCAGCATCCCTTCCCAAGCTGGCCACGCCACAGGTTACAAAGCCAGAGTGAACCATCCTCATCTGGGCTTGAAAATTCCTTGTGGACCTCTCCCTTTTACTGGGAATTCATAGGACTCGTTCCAATGTCTGGGCAAGGAGGAGGCTGACCTGCTTCCATGTACCTCGTGGAACTGGGTGGCGTAAGCTATGGCTGTAAACTGGGCTCCTTCCTGTCCTTGCAGGGGGCCCTGGGCAAGGGCTGCTATCAGCACCTCAGTTTCCCCATCTGTAACATGGGACATGACATCCCTATACCTCTCAGCCTGGGGAGGCTCCTGGATGGGGGTGGGACGGAGGGGACTCTGAGCCCTCCCCTTCTCCTTTCCATCCCTTCCTGCCTCAACCAGAGCAACTCAGGTTGGTCTTCCAAGTAAAAGTTCACTTGAAAATGTGTCCAGAGGCTAACAGATGTGCGAAGAACCCGTGACCAGGAGTCCAAGATCTCACGGCCCTGACATCCAGTCCAGGGACCCTTGGGTTGCTGTCAGACAGCAGAGAGAAGGGAGGCCTGGGACCACCCCACTTCCTTCCCAGCCTTCCAGGAGCTAATCTTATTCTAGTCACGTTATGCTGGCAGAGCTGCCAATCACAGGGCCCCACCCCTGGATGTGCATCTGACCCAGGCCTGGCCAATGATAGGGCTCCTACCCAGTGGCCACCGTAATAGTTCCCAGGGCTAGGCACATGACCACACCCAGCCAATCAGAGTCCTTCCCTGGGTGTTTCTATTCTGAAACAGGGGGAGATGCCTATTCAGAACTTTTGCACCAAGGTAAACAGACCTAAGCCAGGTGCCTGCATCACGTTTCCCACTGCTGGGAGAAAAATCTGCCCACTTGGGGAGAAAATGAGGTCCCTGCAGAGCAGCCAAGACAGGAACAGATGATGAGAATGTGTGTTCTCAGCACTAAGGTCCCAGTTTCAGCCTTCGTGGCCCCCAGCATGGCCCTGGGGCTAAAACTTTCTCTGTTTTGAGTTTCTGTCACTGACAACCATGGAGTCCTGCTTGACCCAGGACCACCGGGAAAGGTAAGGAAGTCTTCTTCAGCAGCCAAGTCCCCAAAGGGGTTTTCGAGCTTCTGGAGGGCAAATGTAAATAAGGACTTTTCTATTTACTTATTTATTCTGTAGTATCTAATGCAGGTTGGGGCACCCCACCCATGCTGGATAGGCCGATAGGGGGAGGGGAGGGGGCATAGCAAGGAGGTGGAACCAGTTCATATGGAACTTGGCAACTGGCCAAGAGTGACCCTCACTCCAAACTACAGGGGGATTGGAAGACCCTAAGGGCATAACCCCTTACCCAGAGGCACACACCGGGCCTTTGAGGCAGAACCTGACCCAGAATCCAGTTCTCTCGACTCCAAAGCCCATGTCTGCAGGCTTTTGAATTTCATAGAAGTTCAGACGCAGCTTTTGAGAATGATCAGCAGACAGAGACCTGAAGCCGTCCCTGACCACCGGTCCTTCCAAAAAATGACAGCTTAGCCCCCAACAAGGAAGGTCATAATCTGGGAATACAGGCCAGTTCTTGAATTGGGATTTGTCAAGGGACATCTGATTTTCTTGTGTTTCCTCAAAGCATCGACTAGCGGGCAATGGTGACAGTGAAGAGAATGTGTCTGCGTCAGAGCCGGGTCCTCCCCCTCCGTTAGCTGACCGCACAGCAGCGGTCCCATGCAGGATCGCACCAGGGCTGTGCCATCGCGGTTCCCACCTCCACTGGGCAGCTCCAGGGACCACAACACTGCCACCACCGTGATGCCAGGCTCGGGGATCTCTCCTCAGGAGGGTGAGACACAAGAATCCGACATCAGCAAGACACAAGAAAATCGGGCCTCTCTCAGTAAGCTCTGCTCACCGCCAGCGATGCTTGGCGTTTTCACTGCAACCCTGCCTCCATCTCACATGACCTTCTCCCCATGTTTGTGTCTAAATCTCCCTTTTCAAATTTGAGATGAAGTCTCTCTGTCACCCAGGTTGGAGTACAGTGGCATGATCTCAGCTCACTGCAAACTCTGCCTCCCGGGTTTAAGTGATTTTCATGTCTCCTGAGTAACTAGAATTACAGGCTTGCACCACCATGCCCAGATACTTTTTGTATTTTTAGTAAAGACAGGGTTTCACCATGTTGGCCAGGCTGATTTCGAACTCCTGGCATCAAGCAATCTGCCCACCTCAGCCTCCCAAAGTGGTGGGATTACCGGTGTGGGCCACCACGTCCAGCCAATTTCCTTCTTCCTGGAGTGCAATGGCGTGATCTCGCCACACTGCAACCTCTGCCTCCCAGGTTCAAGCCATTCTCCTGCCTCAGCCTCCCAAGTAGCTGGGATTACAGGTGTGCATCATCACACCTGGCTAATTTTTGTAGTTTTAGTAGAGACGGGGTTTCACCAAGTTGGCCAGGCTGGTGTCGAACTCCTGGCCTCAAGTGATCCCCCCACCTTAGACTCCCAAAGTGCTGGGATTCCAGGTGTGAGCCACCACACCCGGCCCAGTTTCCTTCTGCTTATAGGACATCAGTCACTGGATTAAGCTCCAACCTACCCCAGTATGACCTCATCTTAATTCCATCTGCAAAGACTCGATTTCCAAACAGGGTCACATTCATGGGTTTTAGGGGTTAGGACTTAAACCTGTCTTCTAGGGGCACAATTCCACCTGCTAGAATGGGTCAGCATTATGGCAGCCAGCAAAGCGTGAGACAGACAGAGGCAAGGAGCCATTCCCTCCTAGGCTGGGAGTGCCGCTGGGGACCCCTGGGCCATTCCACTTTTCCTGGCAGCCGTAGGCTCCACATTTCTTTTCCAAGGAGCGGCTGGCCTGCGGTTGGCCAAGCCAGACCGGAACACAGTGGTTTAGGGCCAGGCCAGTACCAAAGCTCCCTGGGGAGGAAGCCCAGAGTCCCAGCCCCAGTCCAGGAAATGTGCCCTGCCAAGAGAGGAGGAAGAGCACGAATTCACAGCGAGAGCAATCTGCATCTTTGCCTTTTGGAAGCAGAGCGCAGGAGGGTTTGGCCTTGATTGGAGGCTCCAGGGCACCTGCCATGCCGCAGGTGCTGACATGCAGCAGCCACCAGCACGACCTGACCCCCAGTGCCCAGGCAGGGACCACAGTGGCTCCCAGGTGGCTGGTGCTGTAGGGACCCGAGGGAGCTCTGCCAACCCAAACAATGCATTTTCCAGAGAGGTGTGTGGACTGACCTGAGGTCACACAGTGATCAGTCAGGGCCAGCGTGAATGGCCGGGGCCCCAAGCACAGTCCTGCCAATGAGAGCCTCTTAGCCTTTTACTCACTAAGAGGGCACAGGGAAGGGCAGGTAGGTAGTTTTTGCCCATGGGAACCCAGGGCTGATTTTAAGATAAGAGAGTCTTGCTCTGTCACCCAGGCTGGAGTGCAGTGATACCATCTCGGCTCGCTGCAGCCTTGACCTCCCCGGCTAAAGCGATTCTTCCACCTCAGCCTCCCAAGTAGCTGGGACCACAGGTGAGCACCACCCTGTCTTTGTAGAGATGGACTCTGGCTATGTTGCCCAGGCTGCTCTCGGACTCCCAGCCTCAAGCAGTCTTCCTGCCTTGGCCTCCCAAAGTGCTGGGATTACAGCATGAGCCCCCGTGCCCGGCCAGGGTTGATTGTGTAATAGTTTTGTAGGGGCAATCAGAAGGAAACTGTCATCCAATTAGTGGTCAGACTGGAGCTGCGACACCGGATGTCTGGGAAAATGGGCAAGAAGACCGACATTGCTTGTACCCCTGCTGCGTGCTGACACCTCACACACAGGACATCACCAAGCCCCAGGCCTCTCCCCTGAGAGACAGCGCGGCGCACACCTCACCTGTAGGCAGCCGGAGGCCCAGGCAGCTTGGAGTGAGCCCGGAGTTCCCGTCCCTGCTCCGGTCCCCGAGGGGTGTCAGTTCATCTCACACAGCCTCAGTTTCCCCACCTGTAAATTGGGGATCCCAGGCCCAGTCTCACAGGTGGTCACGAGGATTAGGAATCACATCCCAGAAATTGCCACATAGGCGCGCTCAAGAAAGGTGAGGGGTGGATTTTCCACGGCTTCTGTAACAAATGCCCACGGACTTAGCAGCTTAAATCACATCTGTCATTGACAGTTCTGCAGGTCACAAACCCAGCCTGGGTCTCACTGGGCTTAGGTCAAGGTTGACAGGGCCGCTTCCTTCTGGGGGCTCTGGGGAGAATCTGTTTCCCTGCCTTTTCCAGCGTCCAGAGGTCACTGGCATCCCGAGGCTCCCAGCCTCTTCCTGCACCTTCAGGGCCGGCAATATGGAGCCTCAGCTGCTGCTTTGGTGGTCACAACTCCCTCTGATCACAGCTTGGAAAGGTTCTCTGATTAAGGATGCGTGCTACTCGATTAGGTCCACCTGGACCTAATCCCCATTGCAAGGTTAACGTTCAGCCCACCTGCAAAGTTAGTTTTCCCTCGTCAGGTAGCAGGCACAGGTGTAGGGAATTGGATCGAGCTGACTCGCCGGACTCATCTGGCCACAGGTGAGCTGAGTTGAATTCTGTACCCCAAAGGAGGCCTGGGCTGGTCTCTGGCGGTTCTTTTTGGAAGAAGAAGATTGTGCTAAAACCAGCTTATTCTAGGACCATTTCCCATCTTTCTGCTGTTTTTGACTCTTTTCAAAGAGGCCCTGTCTAGCCAAGGAGACTGGATCACATCTGCCAAACCTTTGCTTCAAAATAAACCCTACTAGGAAATTTCCATGGGACTGGAAATTTCTTCCCCCACGGACCTTTTCTTCCCCCACAGACCTGCTTGAAGTTCAAAACCTGGCAGGCTTCTGTACAAAAGGGCCCGGTTGTTCCTCAGCCCAGAGCAGGGTTTCTGTTGTCTGTGTGGCTCTGTCTGCTTTCGCCGTCTCCATCTCTCTACCCGGTGGGGCCATAGCAAAACGGTCACCTCCGTCACCTGCCCCGTGTCCCTCTCAAGCCGCGTCCTTGCTCAACAGCACCTTTCTGTCCTCAGGGCCCCATCTTGCACGTGTCCCCTGCCTGATTTCCACCATGTCAGCTCATGTGTGGCTCTGGGGATTCCAGGAAAGCCTGGCTTTCAAGACCACTGGCTCATCAAAGACAAAAAAAAAAAAAAAAAACTCTTAAAAATCTACTTTGATGATCAAAGCTGAGTATGGACTCCTCTGTCCTTGTGCTCTTCCCTGAGCAAGAAGCCTCATTTCAGGGCCTAGCTGTGATAGGAGGAGAGGCGCTGACGGCGCTGGGGGCCCCCAAAAGAAGCCTGCGGAGCGATTTCATAACAACCTTTGCCTCTAGACGTCAAGCCGGCAGCCAGCAAGCGCAGTCTGTTCATGGGACAGCCCTCTCCAGGCATCTCTAGGCTCATATGTGCAGCTCAGCGCCGGGGCTCTCTGGAAGGACAAAAGACACCAGCAACGTGGAAGGGAAATGGGGCTTTGGGATGACAGCCAGACTCGGTTTCCTGACCCTTTTGCACTGTGACACTGGGCATGTGTCTGAGAGCCTTTTACTGAAGGAGGAAAAATTCCTTCTCTTGTCTCTTTCCAGAAAAGGTTAAGTGGCTCATTCATCTTGTCTGAAATGAAGAAAACAGCTGATGGCGGTCTTTTGCTGGCAGGCTGTACTTTGGGAAGTCCCCAGGCCATGGCTGATAACAAGCCTGTGACCTGTCATGCAGTCTCCAGCAGAATCAGGCCACAGGCATGTGTGGGAGGCCCTGGCCATGGGGACCCCTCTGTCTGGCTGGTGGAGCTGATCTCCCTTCCCCGATGAGGATGCTGGGGCATCGCTCTCATGGCCTGTCTGCCCCTTGGCTGGGTGGCTGCCTGAGAAGTGAACCACACATATCCTCGTCGGAGGCCTGAGATTCACCAGCCCTGCACGAAGATTAAGGGGATCAGGATTCCACCCGCTTCCCTTGCTCAACCTCTGAGGTCAGGCCCAGGCCAGGCACCCGCTGGAGAAAAGCCAGGCTAGCCCGACCTTGTGCCGTCTGGGTCTGCTCCACGCAGCGCTGGCCCGTCTGTCTTGTGTCTCCTGGAGAGCATGACTTGGTGGTGTGCCATCTCAGATGCCTCCTGCCAGCTGGAGACTTTGTTATTGCCTTTTGTGAGTGGTGTCCACCCAGCATTAATGGGCGGGCAATCTCTGAAGGACGGCAAGGAAGGCTTAGAGCCAAGCCCAGGACCTGCTGGGGAGCAGTATCTCCAGCCTGGAGCTGCCCACGTATGTTAAATGCCATTCCCTAAAAGTCCACCAGAGGGCACCACCCAGATGACGTTGCAGCTGCCCTGCAAACCCTCCATGGCTCCCCAGGGCTCCCAGGATGGGGCCCGGAGTTGCAAGCCTGCCCCCAAAGCTGTAAATGAGCTGGCCACTGACCTCTCCAGCTCTATCGTATCCTCCTCTGTGCTTTGTGTTCCAGCCATGCTGGCTTCCTCACAGTTGCTGGAAAAGATGACATTTCCTGCAGCCACAGGTCTTTTGCACACGTTCTGCCCACTTTCTTTTTTTTTTTTTTGAGATGGAGTTTCGCTCTTGTTGCCCAGGCTGGAGTGCAGTGGCACGATCTCGGCTCACTGCGACCTCTGCCTCCTGGGTTCAAGGGATTCTCCTGCCTCTGCCTCCAAGTGGCTGGGACTATGGGCACCTGCTACCACACCCAGCCAGTTTTTGTATCTGAGTAGAAACAGCGGCACAGAGAACACAGGGACCTGGGTCACTCTGAGTTAAGGACTGATTCAGGGAGTCAGACTCTGAAAGGGAAGATGTTTAGGATATTCTGAAATCCATCCATTCCACTTGCGTTTTCCTTTTTTTATGTGTGGCCAGAGTGTCATAAGAATCTACATAAGTCTCACAGAACTCTTTCGGCAAGTGTCAGATAAAAACTAAGGGCTCAGCAGGCCCTGTGGGGAGGATTCGCACGTCCTTTCTCAGGCACAGGCTGGTGGAGAGCTCAGGACGTGTGTCCTGTCCCAAGGAAGACGGTGGCTTGCCTGTGCTGCTGACTCCATTTATTGCAATAACTTAATTGATGCACACGATGAGCATCTCTGCATTTCCAGGTTTAAGAGATTCCTGAAGGTGCCCCAGACCACAGGCCAGGAAAAAGCAGAGCAGGGTTGGAAACAGCCCCCCTGACCTGCCGTCCCTGTTCCGCACCCCCACTGCCTTTCCCTCCCAGGTGCTTCCTTTGCTGGGGGGGGTGTCCCCGCAACTGTCCTTTGCACAGGGCTCTGTGCTTTCCAAGAGCTCTGTTGCTCGGGAGGAGATTTACTTCCAACCTCACTGGCTGGCCGCACACCTTCCTCCCACCTGCCTAATCAGCTCAGAACACCTGGAGAAATTCAGGCTTCCCTGGTGGAAGGTCAGAGGGAGGGATCTCATCAGCTGTCCCCCCTGCATTGTCAGTGGATTTCACCTCCCTCCATGACACTCACCACGTCTCGAGGAAGGGTTGAGGCTGCTGTGGGCAGGGCTTGTCCCTGGGGCCAACCTGAGGCACGGTCCACTCAGGCCACCATCCACCTTGTACTGGTGCCCGCTGTGGTGGAAAATGGGTCACAGACAAAACCACGCACCAACACACACACACTGACACAGACAAAACCACGCACAGACACACACACTGACACAGACAAAACCGCATAGAAACACACACACACAGACAAAAGCACACAGAGATACACACAGACACAGACAAAACCACACAGACACACACACACACACACACACACACATAGACAAAACCACACAGAGACACACACACAGTCACACAGACAAAACCACACAGAAACAGGCACACAGCCACAGCACTGCCGGGCACCCAGAGTCCCGGCTGGCACACGGTCAGTGCTCAGTCAGTGTCCACTGAGTGATTGAGGAAATCAGAGCTGCCCTTTATGTGCCATAGTGCAAGGCATCGGGGGGAGAGTCCCCACCCCTGTCTCAGCCCCAGGTGAAGACCCGTGCACAGGCACCGTGTGGTGTCCCGGCCCAGAGGGCTTTGGGTGCAGAAGCAGGGCAGGCTCGGGCCAGAGAAAGCCTGGCAAGGGGCCCATTTCGGCCCAAGCCTGGCCCTAGCCTGATTCGTGGGCAGCCAAGCAGGAGGCAGGCCTCAGGCGAGGGAGCTGGGCCACAGAGTCGCCCAGGGGCACTTCAGCCAGGTGTCTGCTGTGGCCCGAAGGCAGTCCTGGAAGGAGTGTTGCAGCTGCTGGCCAGAGGAACAACAGCACTGAGAGATCCTGGGGACCTCTGTGGGTCGCCAATGCCATCCACAACACACACGATGTATGCCCGGCTAATTTTTGTATTTTTAGTGGAGATGGGGTACTGCCATGTTGGCCAGGCTGGTCTTGAACTTCTGACCTCGAGTGATCCACCTGCCTCGGCCTCCCACAGTGCTGGGATTACAGGCGTGAGCCACCACACTCGAACCCCACC